GCTATTCAAACACCACCCGGCCTGTGATCCGCAGCATTTGATCCAGACCAGGGGGGAAACGAAGCTCTTCACAGCATCGGCCTTCAGGGACCGGCAGATCCTTGTGCTCTTTCATAGTGTCGGCCTTAGGGGCCGCTGTCGTGGCCCAGGACTATCATTAGCGGATCTGGGGCGCAGAACTCATCCTAGGGAGCGAGGGGCGAGTGCCTAGGTCCCCCCACGCGTTTAGGAAAGTCTCTCGAACAGGTTTTTGCTTGTTTCCTATTCTTCAGCCCCCCTTACTGAGCTCCAGGATCATGAACACATGATCGGGGAAGCGCCCAGGATGTCCGGGATGGGTAGGGAGAGGAGGATGATTATGAGGAGGAGGAGGAGGAGGAGGCGGAGGCGGAGGCGGAGGAGGCGGAGGAGGAGGAGGTGCCCCCCCCCCCCCCCCCCGCGTTTAGGGAAAGTCTCTACGACATGTTCTTGCCCGCTTCCTATCTCTCAGGCCCTTACCAAAATCAGCCCTACCCAGGAGCAACCTTCTAAGGTCACCCTTGCATCCTCTTCCTTCGGCCCATCCTTGACCCCTTTCGCTGGCGGCGCCCCGCTCGCAAAGTGTCGGCCTTATCGTGCGTCCTAGTTCTACGGGTTGATTCTAATTCCCGGGGTCAAAGACAGATGATCGGGGAAGCGGCCAGGAGCAGTGGGGTGCACCACATTTTCGGATGTCTGGGATTGGAGCGCTGTTGTGCCCCCTGGTGTGCTTCCAGGGGCGCCCCTCGCGGACACGGCTGGGCTCCTCTTCAGGTCCTGGCCTGGGCCAGGGCGCACCCCAGGACAGGTCTCGGGGGCGAGTTTTGACAGGACGGGGCGACGATCGAGGTTCGAAGATCGAGGTCGGAGGAGACATTTTATCAATGTGTATGTCACCCTTTTGGGGCCCCCGGGAGTCGAGCCCCATGACCCAGTCCCCCGCGCGCCGCGCAGAAACAGAATCACGGCGGGCGGTCTTGGCGAAGCTTCGAGCTCCCTCGGCCAAGGGCCGGCCCCAGGGATTGGAGGGGGTTTTGCCGATGGGCGACTGCCGAAATTTCTGGAGATAGGAATGGGGTATGGTATGAAGGGGTGTGGTGCTAATTTCCTGTAAAGGGGAATATGGCGATGTTGTTTATCGCAGATAGCATCGCCATTTCCACGATTGGCACCACACCCCTTTACCATATCCCTTCATGTCACACCCATTTTCGACCTCAAGTCAAGTTGAAAGGCGGCTGTGGTCGTTTCGGAGGAACGCGCGCCTACTTCGGCCAGATCTGGGGCTCTGGAGGGACCCCAGACCCTCGTGTTCCCCGCTCTCGCCCGACTTCAAGGGAAGCTGCGAAATCTGGTGATCGGGGTCTTCTCTACACCTGCTGCCGTCTGGGGTTCGCGAGGCACGCGCGCTCCGTATGCCTAAGCAGATGTGCTTAGCACTTGCGAAGCAAGGCCTTGCCTCATCCTCCTTCAGCCTGATCAGTTCTAACAGCGGTACGTAATCACCCAGGAAGGCGACGTTCGACTTGGTGGCAGAGCTGGCCTAGTCAGGCTGGCTCCCGCCCGACTGATTTTTCTCTACGGCGGAGCACGACGTTACGGACTGCGCCAACCCCGCATCAACACTCCGGTAGTATCTCCGAGGGCATGTACTATCTGAGGCCGACCACAAAAAGGGCCAACAACCGGACTTCGAAAACCAGCCATCTTTGAGGCGAACCAAAAAGGCCATTAGCTCAGTAACCGACTCACGCCAGCCGGCATGGGCATGACACTCGGGTGCTAGACTAAGACATGCCAGCCACAAGAAGGATGGTACGACCCAAGCGCTGGGCAAAACACGCAGGCTGGAAACAAACAGCCTGGAAACAGGCCGTTCCCAGGGGAGCCCGACGCTCGGCCCCCAGGGAGCACGCGTCGCCCGACGACCGCGCCCAAACGACACCTCACACCGCATGTCCCGGCGCAGCTCGGCCTCATCATCTTTGCAGCAACGTAGCTCGCTCTTGGAGCATCTACCGGCTACATGCGTAGAGGCAACGACGACACAAGCGCCATGGGGACCGCATTGCCCCTTGAGGGCAATGTACCTTGTGAGAGGCTGGGGTTTGGAAGTTCACGCATGGCTTGAAGTCAGCAGTGGCCGCACGACACCACAAGAAGAGGCCGCTGCACTACATCGCGGTCTTGGGGGCAAGGCCAGGCATTGCCATGCGAATCTAGAATAACGCGATCCTCAAAGTGGCGAAGTACATGGGACCCGAACGGACGCCGTCACCTACATCAGGTTTCTACTCGGCACACGCTTCGAATCCCTAGAGGGCGAAGGACAATTCACATCAGGCGTTCAACTGGTTGACTTCCGCACCAACTCTGGTGAACGCATCGACGGGACGTTCGCAACATTTGAAATAGCTTGGTTAGACGCCCAGCCAGTAGGCTTCGACATCCCGAATTTTCAGTCGCCCACCACAATCCCGTTCAGGGCTTTGGGAATTTCTCCCCAAAGAGCCGTCGCATTTCTGCAACCTATGAACGGATCAGCGCCACGTACCCAACAACAGCGCGACGACCACCCCTGGAAGCATTAGGACAGGTTTTGGTCGAGGACCTGTCTGTGAACGCGGCACAACGCATGATGGCATTTAGTAGCAAACGACGGGCGCCATCCCGACGCCTCAGACGTTTTGAGGCCTCTTGGGGGCTCCTGAGAGGCAGTTTGAGGCCTGTTGGGGGCTGTTTGGGGGCTTCTTTTGGAGCCTCTTGAGGGTCTCGTGGGGCCTCTGGGGGGCCTCGTGGGGCCACCTGGGGGCCTCTTGTGGCGGAAGGCTCGAATCGTTGGTTCGTGCTCCCCTTCTTGGATCCGTCTTGGGGCTCCCTTGGGCGATCTTGGGCGCTTCTTGGGCAGTTTTGGAGCCCTCTTGGACCGTATTAAGGCCCTCTTGGGGGCCTTTTGGGACGTCTTGGGGCGATCTTGGGGGCCTCTGGGGCCATCTTGGAGCGTCGGAAGGCCGAAAACGCGAGAAAGCGAACAACGTCGAAAAGCAAAGGAACAGCCATGATGTTTGCCTCTTTGGGCCCTCTTGGGGGTCCTCTTGGAGCGCTCTTGGGGCTTCTTTGGGGCCTCTGGGGCCGTCTTGGGGTCATCTTGGGCGTCTTGGAGCGCTCTTGGGCTGTCTTGGAGGCCTCTTGCTCTTGGAACCTCTTGGGCGCGTTCTTGGGCCCCTTGGCCCGTCTTGGGACCCTCTGGCTTCTGGAAAGTCATACGGGGCAGCCCAGGAGCGCGCGGGAACGCCCAGGAAATTTGGGATTTTGGGGCCTCAGCCCCTAGAATACAAGAGTCCAAGAGTCCTGAGCACAGAGAACAAAGGACACATGAGGACCTGGAGGAAACTCCACTTCGCACCTCGCGGCATGGTGGCGGATTTTGCGGACGGATGCGAATTTACTCAGTGTTCTCCCCTCCCAGTTTTCAGGAAAACGAGTTTGGGGCTTCAAGGCGTTCGCTACATATGTCGTTTGGGGCTCGCGAGGCACGCGCGTCCCATGTGCCTAAGCAGATTTGCGTATTATTTGCGATGCAATTCTTTGCCTCATCTTCCTTCATCCTGATCACCTCTCCACCGATACACGAACACCCAAGAGGGATACTTGAGACTGTTCTTGCGAACAGCGCCGATGTCGCGAATTTAGACCCGCACGCGCATGCTGACTTCCCACTCCCGGCAAGGAGAGGATCTCGCTGGGTCCTTGTGCGCGTCCGAGTGAGCCGATTCGGGGGGCAGCGGGTGGGCGGGGGTCGCGGGGCATCTTGGGCTGGTAAGAGGTTGCGCGCAGAGACGGTCCCACTACTCAAGTAGTCCCGGCAATCCCCAAGAGGCCCCTGATGTTTTCCTTCTTGCCGCGTTTCTCATCATTCCTTCCCTCCTGTCCTTTCTTCTCCCCCTCGCCCCCCGTGCCCTCGAAGTCGTGTTTTTGTTGTTTCTCTCCTTTTTCCCGGCGCCCCGGCGCCACCACTTAGCCCCGCGTAGGGCCGTCCCCCCTTGGACGACACAGGCGCAGCCTCAGCCTCAGAGGCCTGAGTCTCGACCCCTTCCTCGGGGTATACTTTTCATTCCGAGCCGGTCTTTGTCGGTCCGGGGATCCGGTGAAAGCACCAGAAGGCAAAAGCATTCGATTTGTCACGACGCGAGTGGGTACCTCTTTCTTTTGATGTTTTCGGGTTTCCCGTTCAAACTGCCCTGGGATCCATCCTGGGGTGCGTCTTGACCAGAATTTCGAGGCGGCTACAGCGTGGCGACGAGGAGAGTTTCACAGCCCCCCCCAAACACACTTTAGAGTTTCGAGCCTCGAGCCTCGATCCTCTTCCTCCCATTCCCCCGAACCTCGAGATCCTGGGAAGGTCGCCCCTCGGGCTCGCTTGCAGGCTCGCGAAGCCCAGGTGCCTCCTTCATGGCAGGATCCTAGGGGATACCAGACTCTCGGTCGGGCTCCTGCGCTCGCGAGGGGTGTCCTGGGGGGCCCGACGTTTCGTTTGTCCGGGTTCTTGCGCCCCTAGGCGTTTGGCCAGGTGTCGTCATGCTGGTGCTGCTGCATCTGTTTGGGTCCTCTCCTTCCGTCCCCTTCCCTTCCTCTCCCTCCCCGCCCCTTCGCCCCCCGCCCACGCTTGCGGTCAGATGCAGTGGGGCAGCTGGGAACACGCCTCCTTCAGCACATGCAGTAAACGGGCCCTGGCGCACCCGCGCTGCCCCTGAGGGGCCCCCAGGCAGGCCGGCTGGCGGACTCGGCGCACCCAGCTCCGCTCCTCTCCACCCTGGCGTCTCCACCTCGCTGGGCCAATTGCCCACCACCCCTACCATATGCAGGACGGGGGAGAAGGGAGGATGGGAGGTCCTCCTCCTCTTCCTCCTCCTCTTTCTCCACCCTCCTACTTATGGTAGTGGCGGTGGTGGAAAATCGGCCCATCATCCGCCGACGCCCAGGAGAGCTGCCGTTCGTCACCCACCGTTTTCTGGAGCAGCGGCCGGTCGCCGTCGTCGGCGGGGGCCTCAGCGGGGATCGGAAACTGCAGTGGTTCGTTGCATGTGGTCGGCTTCGCGCATGCGGTCCCGTTCGAGCACCTCTCCACGTCTCTGACGGTATAACTTTTTCAGTCCAGGGTTTTTTCCTCGACCTCGGCCTTCGGGGGCAATTATCGTGCCCCAGGGCCATCCAAAACGGATCTGGCACGAAAATCTGTCCCTGAGGAAGCGGTCGGGACCTCTGCGGCCGCGGGCTGGAAAAATCATATCGACCATCGTGATCCTCTCAGGCCCAAGTGGGACTGCTTGGGAGCCCCTTGGATTCGTATTGGGCCTTATTGGGGCGCGTCGTGGCGTTTTTGTTTAGAGTTATGTGCGGAGTGGGTCTGGGGCTGGGGCGGGAACCCTTGGGGGTGATTAAGACTGGTTGTTTTGCGAAGGCGCATGTGGAGGTAACATCCGAGGGACACACATGAACGGTGCGGGCGATGATGATGATGATGACGATGATGATGATGTTGCTGATGATGTTGTTGTTGATGATGATGATGATGATGATGATGATGATGATGAGGACGATGACGATGACGATGATGATGATGACGATGGTGATGATGATACTGTTGATGATGAGGTTGATGCTGATGCTGATGCTGATGATGTTGATGATGATATGGTGGTGATGATGATAATGCTGATGATGATGGTGATGATGATGGACGTTATCGATGGCGACGGTGATGGCGATAAAGATGATGATAATGATGATGACGATGATGATGATGATGATGATGGTGATGGTGATGGTGATGGTGATGATGATGATCATGATGGTGATGATGATGGTGATGCTGCTGCTGGTGATGATGATGATGATGGTGGAGATGATGACGACGCCGACAGCGATGGCGATGACCACGATGGTGATGATGGTGATGATGATGGTGATGTTGATGATGATGACGACGATGACGATGCTGTTGCTGTTGCTAATGGTGGTGATCGTGAAGGTGATGGTGCTGATGATGGTGATGGTGATGCTAATGCTGATGCTGATGCTGTTGATGATGCTGCTGCTGATGATGGTGTTGACGGTGATGATGATAACGTCAACGACGACGACGATGGCGATGACGATGATGATGATGGTGATGATAATGATGATTACGATGATGATGATGATGATGATGATGATGCTGATGATGATGACGATGACGATGCTGATGCTGCTGATGTTGATGGTAAAGATCGTGATGCCGCTGCTGCTGCTGGTGATGGTGATGATGATGCTGCTGATGATGATGATTATGCTTATGATGATGATTGTTATGATGCTGGTATTGATGATGATAATGATTTTGGTTGAGGTGATGTCGACGATGACGACGACGATGGCGATGGCAATGACGATGATGATGATGACGATGTTGATGATGATGATGATGATGATGATGATGATGATGGTGGTGATGGTGATGGTGATGGTGATGGTGATGGTGATGATGGTGATGATGGTGATGATGGTGATGGTGATGGTGATGGTGGTGGTGGTGATGGTGATGACGATGGTGATGGTGATGGTGATGCTGATGCTGTTGCCACTGATGATGATGATGATGATGATGATGATGATGATGATGATGATGATGATGCTCCTGATGGTGATGATGCTGCTGCTGCTGATGATGATGATGATGGCGATGATGATGAGTGTGGTGATGATGTGGGCAGCACAATCGGGGGCCGAGGGCCCCCGGGCCCCGGGGGCCTCACACTTTTTCCAAGCTCCCCCCTGGAATCGGATTGAGCTACCGTGGTGCGGGCCATGTTTTCAGCCTCTGGGAAAGGGTATTCCAGCCTCGAGCTGGGTGAAGATGGCTGTAAGCGTGCATGAAGCGATGCCAAGAGACCCTCAAGACCGCCATGACCTGCCCACGGGCAGCAGCATCAGCAGTCCTGGGGCTTCCCACAGGCTTGCCATTGGATTTATCAGGTCTTCCCAGGAGCCCCATCAAGCAAATCAGGGATTCCCCCGGGCCTCCCAGGAGCTTCCCAGGAGCATCCGAAGGGCTCTTGGTGCAGTCAGCATGGCGTAGGTCGGAGGTGAGGGGTGAGAACGCAGTGGAGCGGAGAGCCCCCCAGCAGGAAATCGGTTTCGGTTTCGTGTTCGTTTCGCGCGTGCGGGCGAGGCGAAGCCGCGTGGGCGCGCGAGAGGAATGATGGCGCCGTGGCTAGGGGCTGTGGAGCCTATTGTCTGCTCCTCCCCCCTGGCGCGCGGTGGCCGGGGGTGTCCCGTCGATGGCGCTTCGGTGTCCCGTCGGTGTCCCCTCGGTGGCGCGGCGGTGTCCCGTCGGTGGCGCGGGGTGTCCCGTCGGTGGCGCGGGGTGTGCGGTCCGTGGTGCGACGGTGAGATCGATAGTGAGATCGATAGCGAGATTGTTTGTAAGATTTGTTGGGAGATCGATAGTTCGACCTGTCGTGATATCAATACTGAGATCTGTTGTGCGGCCGATCGTGAAACCTGTTGCGAGATCCATAGTGCGATCGACAGTGAGTTCGATTGTGAGATCGGTTGTGAGATCGATTGTGAGATCGATTGTGGGATCGATTGTGAGAGAGATTGTGAGACCGATTGTGAGATCGATCGTGACATCGATGATGAGATCGATTATGCGATCGATTGTGAGACCGATAGTGAGAATTCGTGACGCTTCGCATATCCCCACTATACGACTCGCCGCTTGCGCTTTCGCCCGCGGCCGCGACCAAAAAAAATATCCCCACCACCTGCAGCCCGCACCCCCCCCCTCCCTCACGCCGGCCCGCCCGCCGAGGCGCTGCTGAGGTCGCCGGCCCGTCGGCGTTAGGCAATTCGGCTCTTGCGCGGCCCGCTCGGACCTCACTCGCCGCTGGCGCCCTCGCCTGCGGTTGCGACAAAAAATATCCCCACCATCCAATCCAGAAACGACGCCCAGGCGATTTGAGGTGATTAGGGAATGGAGGAGCAAAGAGGGGGATAACCGAACCGTTCGAAGGAGGAGGAGAAGGATGAGGACGGCTCCAAAGGGCCCCCAGGTGGCTCCAAGAAGGCTTCAGGCAGCCCCACCACCGCTCCGATACGCTCGGGATAGCAGGAGGGCGTCCCTACCCGAACAAAGCCCCAAGACGCCCCGACGACGGGCCAAATGCTTCCGAAGACGGCCCAATCGGACTCCGATGACGGTTGGAGCCAGCCGGGGGGCTGAGGTGGGCATCGTTGGTTCCAACCGTGAGATCGGGGGGGGGAGGCACCATTGTATCTTGGTTTCGTTCCGTGTCCCCTCTGGGCCGCCCTCTCCACATGAGCATTGACTGCCGAGTTTGCCGCCAGCTTTGCCTGCAGCAGCCTCCAATGTCAGGTGGCGGGGGAGGGGAGGTCAGGGACGCCAGCAAGGGGCGGGGGAGAAGACGCGAAGTAAGGCGAATGAGGTGGAAAGGCGCGAGATGAGGCGAAGGCGGGGAAATGAAGGGAAAAGGCGATGGGGAAAAGAGGGGAATGAGGGGAAGCGGCGCCAGCAGAGGAGGGGAAAAGATGCGAGATGCGGCGAAGCATCGCGACTCGGCGACGCGGGCGGGGACAGGCACGAGGACGGCGGACCGCGTTGGGGCACGCTCGGCCTCCTCCTCCTCCGCCTTCCTCGCCTGAGGAGCAGCAGATTTCTCTTGCCCCTGGGCGGCCTCTCTCTTTCGCCCCTGGCCTTGGCCGCCTGCGTCCCCTCCCCGCTGGGCCAGCCCAGTGTCCTCCCTCCTCCTGGGCAGGGCTCCTCGGCTCAACGAGGAGGCGCCCTCCTCTCCATGCTTTTCTTTGCCAGGCGCCGACGGCGACGAAGTCCTGGCGCGCGCCGTGCTGCCGCGTGAGAACGTGGGGAGCACTGGCGCGCCCGAGCAGCCGCTGGAGCTGGTGGTGCGCCGGAAGCCTTGCGCGGCGGGGAGGGGGCTCCACGGGTCGGCCCGGCGCCGGCACAGGGGGAGTTTTCTTTGGCAAAGACACGCGTGTATTCGAGACGTTTCGCGTAGCCCCACCAGCCCTCTGAGCGGCGCTGCGTTGGTCGCCCTGCCTTTCCCTCCTGTCGTCGTCCGCGCCCTTCCTCTTCTCCTCCACCCCGCGTGCCAGCTGTTGTTAAGGTTCCTGTCCTGCACGTAGGCCTGGCTGCTCTTGACTGGTGACGCCGCGCGGCTGTCCGCTTGCGGTCGGTAAACAAAAAAGTAGCCCCACCAGCCCATCAAGAAACGATGCCCGGGCGAGTTGCCCTGACCAGGGATGTGGAGGAACATGCAGTGGAATAAGCGGTTTGGGAAGCTCTCGTACCCCAAGAGGGGGAGGATGGAGGAGGAATCGGAGGAGGAGGATGGGGAGATAAAAGGGGAGGAGGGAGGACGGAAGAGGAAAAATAGGCGGATGAGGAAGAGGAGGAGGAGGAAGAGGAGGAGGAGGAGGAGGAGGAGGAGGAAAAGGAACAGGAAAAGGAAAAGGAAAAGGAAAAGGAGGCGGAGGAGGTGAAGGAGGAGGAAGGCGAGCAGAAAGACCTGAGGCCTCCTCGATGTTTTTTTTCTGAGTTTCTTATGATGTTTCTGGAGATCTTCCTGTGATCTTCTTGGGGCGTCTTGGAGGCCCCTTGGCGGCCCCAGGAGCCTCTTGGAGCGTTTTGGGTGCCTTGGGGGAGCCTCTTAGGGCCTCTTGGGGGTCTCTTGGGAGCCTTTTGGGGACCTCTCGGGGGCCTCTTGGAGCCTCCCGGACGCCTTTGGGGGCCCTCTTGGGGCCCTCTTGGGGCAATCCTGGGAGCCTTGCGGGCCATCTTGGAGGAGATCGCTCAAAGGAGGGCGGGTCCTCAATTAGCCCCGCCTCATGTAGAGTCTCCGTCATCGCCTCATGGAGCCTTCTTGGGGCTCTTTGGGGCTCCCCGTGGTGTTCTCTTGAGTCTTCTTGGGGCCATCTTGAAGCCTCGGAATACGTTCGAAAATGAAAAGGCCTGAAGGCGAAACACATACATTGGCCTTCGGTGTTTGGCGGATTTGGGATTGTTGGTGGCTTCTTTTGAGGCTCCGTCCAGGTCCAGGGGAGGGACTTCGAGGGTATGTCCCATGGGGAGGACAGCAGCTCGCCTGCTTACGCTGCTTTTTTGGCTCAAGACTGCGCCGCCCTATCTGCCAGCATCGGCGCCGCAGGCTCAATTTGCGGCAGCGGGGGAGACACGAGTTTTTTCTCCGCCCATCGCCATCCTTCACAATTCCATCGACTTCCCGTTCTAGACAGCCATGGCATGGTACTCTTATTATCGACTAGGTAACGGAGCTGTCGCAGCGTCGCAGCCGCGGCAGCTCTGCTCAGGCACAACCGCCTACCAAGTCACCGACATGCGCGGTGGAGGCTACCTGCAGGACCACAACAAGAGCATCGCGGACGACTGCCTGAACGTCCGCAGTGCGGGCACCTACCGCAAGGCAACCAATGCACCGACTCCCTCTGCTACCTGGACTTCAGGCGCGCGAAGAGACTCGACCGATATGATGAAGGCCTTCCGCGCCCCAGCCCTTACGACGACAACCACATCTACCCCCCCCCCCCCCTCTACGTGGAGCGCGCGAGGAAATACAACGGTAATTGCGACGACAACCGCATATACCTCTCCCTCCCACGTCGAGCGCGCGAGGAGCATCGACCGCAACTGCAACTTCTACGACTACCTCTTCCACCGCGACCTCATCTACCTTCGTTCGCGGTGACGCGAATGATCCCTGCATCTCCGACCTACAGGATCGCCGACTCGCGAGCTCCCCCCCGTCCCAAGCCTTTTCGTGGTTGCGCGACCGGTGCCGTCAATGCTTCCAGACGTACTGCGATGCCTTCTACATTCCTCAGCAGGATTGATTTCTTTGGAGTGGTAGTGCACGATCTGACCGCGGCGGCCATTGAAGTTGCAAATCGACGCATGAGCCGCGATCGGCAGGGCGACCAGACAGACGAGGCGCCACACCTGGGACCGCGCGGGACCCGTCCCATATCGCGTCTGGATTCGCGAGGTGCACGCCCGATTGAACGCCCACTCTGGACGCGCGACACCCCCGCAGCAAGCCGCGGCCGTGGACTTCGAGGCCCGGCGCGCGCGCTGGCTATGAGGACCCCGCCTGCCGTCGCCGACTTCGGCGCGGAGGCGAACGGTGCCCGCGCCTACTCGGTCGCCCACCTCCTCCTTTACCTAGCCCGGCTCTTCGCGGGCCTCGAGAACGAGAGACCCTTGCAACGAGGTCCCGAACTCATGGGCTTCAGGGCGCATCCGGACGAGCGCATCGACAGCGTCTCGGCCAGGCGGGAAATCGCCCGGATGGATGCCGATGCTGCGGGCTTCGGCCTAGACAACTTGAGCTTGCGTTTTAACGCATTGGCGCTGGCCCTTCGCGCGCCGCCAGGGAAAAGAGCGCCGTTACTTCCGCCGCTCAACGGCGCGGCGCCTCGCGCCCGACAACCGCGCGACGACCTCTTCGAAGCGCTGCGTCGCCGGGCGCGCATATCTGAGCGATTACCTGGCAGCGCCCCCCAACTCATAGGAGGGCGCGCCAGAGCAGGCGCTCGCGTCGCGGATGCTTTCGCGGTTTGCGACCCTCAAGGAGGACAGGAAGGGTTGCCAGCACACGGTTCGCGGACGCCACCTGTCGGCCAGGGCGCCCGCGGGAAGGCGGCCGCCCTGGCCCCGGCGGCGCCGCAGACGGCGCCCACTGCCGCGCCGGCGGGAACCGGGCAGAGGGGGGCGATGGCGGCGCGGGCACGGGCGCGCCCCCGTCGAACGACGACGCGAAGTACATGGTGACCTAGCCAGTTCCCTCGAAGATCAACACTCATAGGAACTATCATTCCGTTAACCAAACAACGCAATAGCGGCCGAGGGCGGCGCTGCACCGGCAGCCCAGCGCGCTGCGCCCGACGCTCCACGAAACGCGCGCACAATGGAAGGGGGCGCGGAGGCCGCGGAGGACGCCGGCGACTCACGAGGCCCACGCCACGAGTAGATATTCCTTGGTGGGCGAGGCAAGTGGAGAGGTAAAGGTGCGCGCAACAGATCTAGGTCATCGATCAGAGGAAATGGCCGCAGGCAAAACTTCATGTGCAAGGACGGCCAGGTGATGAAATGCCGCGATGGTGGATCGCTTCAACATCTTGCCCGAGCGCCCTAATCCACGTGGGCAGGCGGCTGCAATTTCGGAGACTCCGCTGACCAGCGGCGTCAAGTTTCTAGACCTTCAATACAACAAGCAGGAGCGACTGGTCCCAATTCGCGGTTTCAATAGCAAGGGAAATCACAGCGCATGGAAGAAGCACCGCGCAATGGACTTCCCACATGTCAAGTATTGCGGCCAGGTGGCCCTTCGCCAAGCGCAGCGAGGCTTGCGCTGGATGCGGGAACAACCAGCGGCAAATTGGATAAACGATGCTCAGCCCTGGCAGCAAGTGCAACAGGGGGCTCGTCCGTGCAGAATGACGAATTTCAAGAATAGCCACGGCGCGCATGCGTAAACCGACGGCAACTGCCGCCAAACATCCATTGTTTCTCAGGACCTTGCAGAAGTACAGATGCAGCTGTCGCCGCGAACATTGCAAGCCCTGCAACGAGAAGCTCTCCAGGGCGGCCCAGCACATGACGAAACAATGCCACGATTTCGCTGACGCCGCGATATCGCGCAAGGCGACGAGACGACTCCATGGCATGGGCGCGATCGAGCAGGCTAGAACTCCCACTCCCTCGCAGGGACTGACGCGCATTCTGCCGCTACCACTGGCCTTGCGGACCCTGGCTAGGCGACGCAGGCCGCTAATTCATCCAGACTCGGCATGGCCCCGCCAGGTGGAAGTGGCTGCCTTGGGCGCGCCCAGAACTTTCGTGTCAATGCTCCGTCGCGCACAGGAGATCCCTGCTTCCGCCGATGCTGCGACGCAGCGATGAACCATTGGAAGTGCGAGGCACGTAAGAAACATTAGGATCCACAGGAGAAGGGGCGCAGCTATGCTACGAGCAAATGCCCTTTCGCCATGCCGTTCAGCTGGCCTGCTGGACGCGATGCCGCCATGCCGCTCGGGCCAAAGGATAGCGGGGCCCCCCCGAGGTGATTGCGCCAGGGGGCGGGCGAGCTTCATCATTCAGGAGCTCGTCCGGGGGCGCCGCGACCACGCGCAGTTGATGACCTTGCTGCTAAAATTGATAGCGCCACAGCCTCTCGAGCCGATCCGCCGAGCACCACAATTCACTCGAGCGGTGCCCTGGTCTTCTGGCCCAGGAACGGGCCCGAGCCCATGTCCAGACTGGTGTTGTTTTTATGCCCAATCCAGTCTCAAGACACTCAGGAGCATTGACCCAGCGGTCGCCAATAAAAATCGCAGGAAGTTGCACCTTCGGTTCTTCCGTGCACAGGAACCGAAAATGCGTCTGACCTTGCGGCGAGTTGGCTTGGACGACACCAGACCCATCATGATAAGGCCTGTCGTTCATGCCCGTCGAGAGTGCCCGGGCTTGGGAACGACCCAGCACTTCCCCTGTTCCATCGCTAAGCTTACCTGGCCGAGTCAATGAGGAAGTCGAGCGCGATGTGACCTTCCACGAGGAACACATCGCCTTCGCATCATCGGTCGACGCATCCGGCGCGCTAGCTGCTGCGCAGTCCCCAACCGAACTACACCCCGGCCGTTGAAAGTAGGTACTTTGGGGTTCCCAGATCCCAATATATCTCAAGCGCCTTCCTACTTCAAGAGCCGACATGATTTTGCTACGGTTTGTTATTATTTGGGAGGACCTGGGCCCAATCTACTATATCCGCCTTCGTACTTCATGCTTCTACCTACTTCTTCCGACCGACGCGTAAGGATGCACTACTGGACACGCACCACTGGGTCAAATTCAACTACGCAGCCAATATATTGCACTGCGACGGCGAAGG